GAGGATGGTGAGAGGCTGGATTGGGCCACTCAGGGAAATTGTGGATGCCCCATCTCTGGAAATGTTGAGAAGAAGAAAGGGGAGAAGAAGGAGAAGGAGAAGGAGAAGGAGAAGGAGAAGGAGAAGGAGAAGGAGAAGGAGAAGGAGAAGGAGAGGGAGAGGGAGAGGGAGAGGGAGATAAAGAAAAGGAGAAGGAGATAAAGAAAAGGAGAAAGAAGGTGGGGAGGAGGAGGAGGAGAGAAAGATGGGAAGGAGAAGTAAAAGGGAGAAGGACAGGAGGAAGAGAAGAAGGAGAGGGAGGAGGAAGAGGAAAAGGAAAAGGAAAAGGAAAAGGAAAAGGAAAAAGAAAGGGAAAAGTCCTGCAGCCAGATCACACCCCATGAGTCCATGCCATGGATGGTGCTGCCACAGCAGGGAATGGGTCACTCACCTCCAGACTCTTCCCAATCCTTCAGAAAAAGGATGCAGGGAACAACCACTGACCTTGGGACTACACAGGTTTTAAACCTCCACTCTTTTGATTTTCCACTTCCTCCTGGATTCTCTCCCATTTCTTTACACTTTAATTAAGGCATCTCCCTGAAATCTTGACACAACAATCCCAGAGACTCAAAAGTGCTGAAGACATTCCAGGAAAGCTGTGGGTGCCCCATCCCTGGAATTGTTCCAGACCAGGTTGGATGGGGCTTAGAGCAGCCTGGAATAGTGGAAGGTGTCCCTGCCCATGGAAAGGGGTGGAATTCAATGACTCTGAAAGTCCCTTCCAACCCAAACCATTCCATGACTCCATGATGTCCCACACAAGCTGTTCCTGCAAATGGATCCCTGGCAGTACTGGGTGTTTCAGCATCCAGGGATCCTCTGGCACACTTGTCCCTGGATCTGCACTGGGATGATGTTTTAGGACATTGAAAGGATTTATTTTTGGGCTGAACGAGATAATTTAATTCCTCTTCCCTGTGTTCCCTTCCCTGGGATGTTTACTCACTCAAAACCCTGCACTTGTTGGGTTTTTTTGGGTTTTTTTCCCCCTCTTTTAAAAAAAATTAAATTAGACTTCCAAAGTGTCATATAAACGTAGTGCTGTGAATTAAAAGTGCCATGAATTCTTTTTGGATATGTGCTTGTGACAGGAACGGGTTGGAAAGCCAGAAAAAAAAAAAAGAGGTTTATTTTAATATTTTAACATCCTCATCTGTCCTTTGCCCTCTGCACAAATCCTAGGGGAGATTTCTGCCAGCTGCTTGTCCCGAGGCAGGATGCTCTTCTGTATTCCCTGGAGAAGATCCAGTTCATGCTTAAAATGCTGCTTCTCCATCTCTGGATACCCCCATCCCAAAGCTCTGCCGATGGAAAACATCCAAGGATGACCCCAAGTGGTCCAAGATCCTCCAAACTTTGCATTTTCTCCTTACAAATTTTGGTGTAAATTGGTGAAACAGCTTTGAGTTTGCCTTTTTCCTGAGGTTGGATTTGTGGGAGTGGTGGATCCACGGCTTCCCTGGGTTAAAAATGAGCTTTTCCTCCACGTGTGCTGAATTAATTTCAATTCAGAGCAGCTCGTTCCGAGCTCTTTTATGCAAAGCACTCGACTCCCTGTGCCAGCACAAGGGAGGGAAGGAGCAGCTGGGAGTGGAGGAGGATTTTTTTTGGCACAAGTGCCAATTCCTGTCAGTTTAAAGCCATTATGAAACTCTGGGTGGGATTTGGGACCAATTGAAGCTGATCTGAGGCCGCCCAAAGGGAGGAGATCTGTCATTCCTGCCTGCCTGGCTCCCAGCCTGTTCCCATGTGTGCAAGGCTTGGAAAAAAGAGAGGATTTGAAGTCTTTTTTAGCAGTTTTAGGGTCAGACTCCCCCAAATTCTTTGTATTTTGAAACCTTTTCTCGCAAAATAATTTATCCCAACCAGCTGGTTCTTCCCATATTCCACTTTAAAACGCCACAAAACACCAAAAATTATTTACTAAATCTCCATTTCCAAGCAGGGAAATTGTAGGCTCATCCCAAAGATGTGATTTGATCAGAGCTGGGACAGGCAGAACTCCCTGGCTGCATTAGGAAGTGAGATATCCCAAGGGACAACATCTGTTTTAAAGGATTTGAGGCTGATAATGGGTTGCTTTTCCAAATGTTCCATCCTGGTGTCGTGTTGCTCCAGCTCCTTGGCTCAGCTTTTTGTCCCCTGGACAATATTAGGCTGGAGTTTTATCTCCTTTGCACACTTGAGGCTCTGCTGCTCTTTGTTTATGGGGTTTATTCCCTTGGGGAAGAATGAAATTATTTGGAAAACAAACTCCTTAAGAATTTTCTTCACTTCCACAGTAAATTTGAAGATTTGAGACCGGTTTTCCTGCAAAGCATTTTATAAATGACAGAAAAAGTGTGGGAAATAGGGAATCACGAGGCTGATGGGTGGAATTAACATTTCCTTGCTGGAGATTTTCCTTTGGATCACCAGCAATTCTCCCCCTCATGCCTGGGTGTGGGAGGACACTGGTGACAGGAGAGGGGTCAGGGGGTGGGGACAGGGACAGGGGCTGGGGACAACTGGACCAGGTTTACCTTGATACGGGACATCCCAGAATCCTGGAATGGTTTGTGTTGGAAGAAACCTTGAAGATCATCCCATTCCAATCCCCACCATAGGCAGGGACACCTTCCACTATCCCAGGTTGCTCCAAGCCCCATCCAGCCTGACCTTGGGCATCTCCAGGGATGGGGCAGCCACAGCTTCTCTGGGAATTCCATTCCAGCTCCTCAACACCCTCCCAGTGAATAATTTTTTCCAATATCCCATCTCACCCTGTCTTTTGTCAGTTTGAAGCCATTCCCTGTGTTCTGTCCCTCCATCCCTTGTCCCAATTTCCTCTCCAGCTCTCCTGGAGTCCCTTTAGGCACTGGAAGGAGCTCTGAGGTCTCCCTGGGGCCTTCCCTTCTCCAGGTTGAACATTCCCAGCTCTCTCAGGCTGGCTCCAAGATTTACGCATTCCAAGTAGATAATTTGTGTTTCACGCATTTTGGTAATTGCAGCCTTAGTGAAGCCTTGGGAGCTGAAAATGTGGAGAGAGAAGAAGAAACTTGGGATAAAATATCACCCAAACCCCAACCCAACTGAACATGGAACCAATGGACCAGGGAGAAGTGGGGAAATATCCAAGGCCAGGAGAAAGAAAAACTGGCTCCCCCTTTTCTGTGCAGAACTATAAATAATTCCAGTATTTTGGATCAGTTTGTGGATAATGGTCTTGCACACCGTGGAAGAATCTTTTTTTGGACAACAGTCACAGGAGAAATGCTGCAGCCATCTGATTGTGAAAAACGCCACTCACTTGTTTTTAAAATTTTAAAAGTTTAATAGTTATAAAATGGTTATAAAAATAGTAATATAATTAAAGTAATAAAAATTTGGACAATTTGGATTAGAACAATATGAGACAATAAAAACAAAGACTTACAGATGTCCAGGTATCTTTTTCTGGGCAGAAAAAGCCTGAAACAGGACACATGTTAACAGAGGATTAACCCTTAAAAGCAGTAACTTGCTGCATATTCATACACCTCATACATGACGCATAAATTCCATTCAAACAAAGGATTCTGTCTGGTCAGCGTCAACTTCTTCCTCTTAATCCTAACAGCATTTTCAAGGCTGAGCAAGGCTGGAAAAAGTTTGTTTATTCTGATAAGAGAGCAATAAATTCTTTTTCTCTGAAAGATTTCGGTACCTTGTGACTGCTATCTCACTGTGAGTCCTTTAAAAATGTATCTTACATAGCAGAGTTTCTACTTTAACATTATGTTACAACCTAAAACTATATTTAACACACTACTTAAGAAAATTAATACAGCATAAGTTTCTAACATAATGCATATAATATTCATTTTAATATTTGAGAAAAGCCAATCATAAAATATGCATTTTGCACATGATCATTGGAGATGGGGACGGTGGACCAACCAGGCAGGGATGGGGACAGGAGAAATGGGGATAACTGGGCCAGGCAGGGATGGGGACAGGAGATGGCTGGGTGAAGTTGTGGAAGGAACAGAGGCTGGGACCGAGGAGAGCCATGGTGGCCCAGGCTGAGGACAGCTGGTCCAGACTAAGACAGTGTGAAAAATGTATATTTTATTATTGGCTTTTCGTGAATATTACAATGAATATTATATGTGTTATGTTAGAAAGTTATGCTGTATTAATTTTTTTAGTAGTGTGTTAAATATAGTTTTAGGTTATAACATAATGTTAAAAAAGAAACTGTAAGATACTTTTTTTTAAGGACTCACAGCAAGATAGCAGCCACCTAAATCTTTCAGAAAAAGAGAATTTATTGCTGTCTTATCAGAAGAAATGAACTTCTTCCTGCCTTGCTCAGCCCTGAAGACACTGTTAGAATTAAGACAAAGAAGTTGATGCTGACCAGACAGAATCCTGTGTTTGAATTGAATTTATGCATAATGTATGAGGTGTATGAATATGCAACAGGCTATTGTTTTTAAAGGTTAATCCTCTGTTAATGTGTGTCCTTTTTTGGACTTATTTTGCCCAGAAAAACATACCTGGACGTCCGTAAGTCTTTGTTTTTATTGTCTCATATTGTCCTAATCCAAATTGTCCAAATTTTTATTACTCTAATTGTATTGCTATTTTTATAACCATTTTATTACTATTAAACTTTTAAAAAATAAATAAAAAAAGTAATTGGCGTTTTTCATAATAGGAACAGGGGACAGAGTCTGGTGACAGCTGGACCAGGCTGAGATGGGAAGAGGGGACAACCGAGCTTCTATCCCAGGCCGGGGACAGAGGCCGGGGTCAGCCAGGCCGGGCTGGGTTAGGCCCAATCCCAGGCCTAGGCCCGGGCCCAGTTTAGGCCGCGCTGTCCCTTCCTGGTTGCCCGGCAACGGTCGCGGGAGTCACGTGACCGCTCAGGAGCGCTCACGTGAGTCCGTTGGCGTCGGGCGGCGCCGGTTGATGACATCACAGCGCCGCGGGGCCGTCCGGGAGTGCTGCGGGAATGGAGGAACGGGAGCGGCTGTGCCGGGAGATCCGAGTGCTCCAAGGTTTGGGAATTGGGGTTATTGGGAATGGGAGAGGCTGTGCCGGGAGATCGGAGTGCTCCAAGGCTCGGGAATTGGGGAAATTGGGAGTGGGAGCGGCTGTGCCGGGAGATCGGAGTGCTCCAAGGCTCGGGAATTGGGGAAATTGGGAGTGGGAGCGGCTGTGCCGGGAGATCGGAGTGCTCCAAGGTTCGGGAATTGGGGGAATCGGGAATGGGAGAGGCTGTGCCGGGAGATCCGAGTGCTCCAGGGTGCGGGAATTGGGGAAATCGGGATATGGGAGAGGCTGTGCCGGGAGATCCGAGTGCTCCAGGGTGCGGGAATTGGGGGAATTGGGGAAATTGGGAATGGGAGAGGCTGTGCCGGGAGATCCGAGTGCTCCAGGGTGTGAAGGGATTGGGGAGACATTGGGAAATGAGAGGACATGGGGAAAAAAGGGAGGGAAGGACGAGGAAAAGAAGCCGGGGTCTGGAAACTGGGAGTGGCTGGAGCAATGTGAGAGGACCTGGAGGAGGGATAAGGGGAAATCTGGGCATCTTGGGAGGTGGTGCAGTGTTTTAAGGGAATTTTGGGAATCTGCTTTGGGACAGGGAAGGGTTGTGATGGGACCTGGGGGGTTTTTGGTGGGGGTGGGACGTTGGATTTTAGGGGAGTATGAGCGGGATGGGGATGGAGAAGATCCCAAAGTGCTGGAGAAGGAAGGAATGGGGAGAAGAGAGGACTCAGGAGTTCTGGGAGAAGAGGGAAGTGATCCAGGGAGTGCTGGGAAAAGGCGGAAAGGGAAAAGACCCAGGAAAGCTGAGTGGGCCAAGGCAGGGAGGGAGCAGAGCCCATGGAGTGCTGGGGGATTCTGGGGTCCCCACACCAGGGAATTCCCACAGTGCTGCTCTCAGCAGGATCTGGGACTCTCCTGGCTTTGGGAAGGGGCTTTTCCCTGTCCCACAGCCCTGAGCTGGGAGCACAGAGGTGGGATGTGGATCCATGTGCCCTTCCCAAGCTCTGGAAAGCACCAGAGCTTATTTTAGCACCAAATCTCTCTTTTTTTGTCCTTCAAAATGAATTTTCCTCGTTAGTGAGGCCACAACCTCCGCTCAGGATTTGGGATTTACTTCTCCAGGAGCTCCCAAGTGGGGGAATGATGAGAGGGAGGAAAACAATCCTTGCTTTTCCATGAGGAATGTGCTGACTCAGCTCTCCTGGCAGCACCGTGACCCCGGTGAAGGAAGAACTCTGCCTGAAATACCAGGCTCCAAATTCCTTTGGGAATCACTCATGGGAAAGGTTTTCTGAACACTGAGGCTGGACAAGGGCAGGAATTCCCAAATTAACAGGGATGTTGCCTTCCAGAGGGACACAGCAGCAAAGCCTTGGAGTGTCCTTGTTGCTGCTTTTGGAGGAAAGCAAGGAAGGGAACTTGGGAAGGGTCTGGAGCACCAGGAGCAGCTGAGGGAGATTGGGGGGCTCATCCTGGAGAAAAGGAGGCTCAGGAGGAACCTTCTGGCTCCCTAAAATTCCCTGACAGGAGGGTGAAGTCAGGTGGGATCAGGATCTGCCAGGATACAGGAAATGGCTTCCCATGGCCAGAGTGCAGGGATAGATGGGATTTTGGGAAGGAATTCTTCCCTGTGAGGGTGGTGAGGGGCTGGGATGCAATTCCCAGAGAAGCTATGGCTGCCCCTGGATCCCTGGAAATGTCCAAGGCCAGGTTGGATGGGGCTTGGAGCAACCTGAACCAGATGTTCTTGAAGGTCCCTTCCCACCCAAACCATTCCTGGGCGCTGTGATTCCATGACTTTTCCTTCCACCCTGGCTCATCATCCAAAACCCGAGTGGTGATGCAGTTCCAGCACAAGGAAGAGCAGCTCTGTGCTGCTCTCAGATTCCCGTGGGATCAGGGAATTAATGCTCTCTCTCCTCTGCCACAGGTCTCATAAACAGCCACAGGAACATTCACGGGAATGTCCCACGCCCGGCGCCATCGGCTCCTCCGAGGTGGAACAACCCCTGCCAGCCTGGATACACCAGGAGAGGAGCCTTTTCCACCAGGTACCCCCAGCAGGCTCCCAGGAATTTCCACCCACGCCAAGCTCACTCCTGGAGGAAAAAATACTGCCTGGACAACCGGCTGCCGGGATCGGGGTATGAGGCTGGAAGCGCTTCCAGCACTTCCCAGGGTTTTGGGAGCCTTGGGGACAGCCAGGCTCCTGAGGCACCGGAATCATCCCCGGAGAGGCACGTGGACTTCACCATGGATGGGAACATCGTTGTGGATATCCAGGTGCCACAGAGGGCTGGCCAGGAAAATGTGGGTCCTTACGGAGAGTTTTCCAGGCGGGAAGTGGCGGTGGCTCCTTCGGCGGATGGAAACATCCAGAAATCTCTTCTCCAGGAGGAAGAGAGAAGACCTTCCCTCTCCATTTCCTTCAGTTCCACCTCGAGGACTGTGTGCCTGCCTGGAAGCGGGGCTGGGAGCTCCTTTTCCACCTCTGGAAGCACCAGTGAAAGTGCCGTGGCGCTGAAGTCAGAGCCACAAAAACCTCTGGAATTTCCAGGTCAGGAGCCAGCCCAGCACTCGCTACGGATCAAGGCAGAACCACTCTCTCCAGGGCAGCCAAGTGGTGAGGAAGTCCAGGATGCTTCCCTACATCCCAAACTCTTTGGGAATGCTGAAACGCTCTCTCGACCTGCTCAGGCTGGGGTGACTCTGGTGAAGAGCAGATTTCCCGTAATTCCCAAAGCTCCTGCTCTCCAAAAAGCTGCCTCAGCACCCATCTCCAGCAAATCTCAGAAATTCAGGAAAAACAACTACACCTGGGTGGCAAACCCTGGGAAAAGCTCCCGGATTGTGAAGAGGTGGGCGAGCCCTCGAGCCGAAAATTCCAAGAAGGGCGTTGTGGGAGTGGACAAAGGTGCCAAAATCTCCCCCAAAGCGGATTTGGGAGCCAAGATAAAGAAATTGGGATTGCAGTCCAAGCTGGGGGTTTCTCCCAGTAAATATAAGTGGAAAGCCTCCAGCCTGCAGACTTTGCCTTCCACTTCCAAGTCAGCATTCCAGTGGAGATCCGAGGACCAGAAGGAAGCTCCAGCCCCAAATGTCCCTCGAACCGTCTCCGTCCCAGCGGCTCCGAGCGTGGCGTCCGTTGTTCCCGGTGGGATGAAATCCTTTGGAGAGGCTGCACTGTCCAGCTACAAAGTGAAGAGTCGGACAAAAATCATCAAGAGGAAGGGGAATGTGGGGTAAGTTGTTGCTTTGGGTTTTGTGTTTTGGATTTTGTGCGTTTCATGTCAGGTTGTGGCTGTGGGAGAAATTCCAGGGGGGGTTGTTGTGTGCTGGAGGATTTATGGAATCATGGAGTGGTTTGGGCTGGAAGATCTTAAAAATCATGGAATTCCATACCTCTGCTATGAACAGGGACACCTTCCACTAGACCAGACTGCTTCAAGCCCCCTTCAACGTGGCCTTGGACACTTCAGGGAAGGGGCAACCACAGCTTCTCTGGAAATTTCATTCCAGGGCCTCAGCACCCTCCCAGGGAAGAATCCCTTCCCAATATCCCATCTGTCCCTGCCCTCTGGCAGTGGGAAGCCATTCCCTGTGTCCTGTCCCTCCATCCCTTGTCCCAAGTCCCTCTCCAGCTCTCCTGGAGCCCCTTCAGGTCCCGGAAGGGGCTCTGAGGTCTCCCTGGATCCTTCCCTTCTCCAGGATGGACATTTCCAAGTCTCCCAGCCTGGCTCCAAAGCAGAGGAGCTCCATCCCTTGGAGCATCTCCATGGCCTCCTCTGGATTTGCTCCAGCAGTTCCATGTCCTCCTGATATTGGGTGATCCAGAGCTGGATCCTGTGAATCCCTGTGGTCACTGACCCTTCCTCACTCAGCAAAGGAAGCTGCATTTTCCTTGATTTAATTTCAAATTCTCATTGTTGTGTGTTGATTCCTGCTTCTGTTTCCCACATCCTTTCAGTGCTTCCCAGCAGGTTTCCATCCTTGTCTTGGCTGGAAAACTATCCGTGGGTGGATTGTGCTGGGAAAATCACTCTGGAGCAGCCTGGAGAAGCTGGGAATGTTTGGGATTTTTTTGCAGTTCAGGGAGACCTCCCACACCTTGGTAAATTCCAGCAGAACCAGGGAAGGGATCATCCCCCTGTTCTGGGCACTGCTGAGGCTCCTCAAATTCTGGGGGGAAAATATTGAGGATCTGGAGCATGTCCAGAGTTGGGAATGGAGCTGGGGAAGGGTCTGGAGCACCAGGAGCAGCTGAGGGAGCTGGGAGAACTCAGCTTGGAGAATAGGAGGCTCAGAGGGGACCTTCTGGCTCCCTAAATTCTCTGACAGGAGAGTAAAGTCAGGAAGGATCAGGATCTCCCAGGGAACAATGGACAGAGTGTGAGGAAACAGCCTCAAACTGCTCCAGGGGAGGTTTAGTTTGGATATTTGGAAAATTCTTTTTTGTATAGGGTGGTCAGGCATTGAGAATCCTCATCCCTGGAGAGATTTAAGATCTCTGTGGATGTGGAACTTGGGGACATGGTCAGTGGTGTCCATGGCACTGCTGGGAAATGCTTGAACTCGCTGATCTCAGAGATCTTTTCCAACCCAAACCATTCCATGATTCCATGATTCAATCCCTCACATCTGTTGAGCAGAAGGCAGTGGGTAAGTCTGGCTGTAAAACACCTCACTCTCCATCTGTTCCTTGCCAGGAACTCCTCACATTTGCCCATTTCCTTGGAATTCTCTCTTCAGAGCTTCTCCTCCCCAGAGGAGAATCCCGGTGGGATTTGACTCTTCTTGGAGCCCTGGAGAAGAGCACCAGGAGCGTTTTGGTCACTTCCCTGCTCCCTCCTAACCGTGTGACATTCCCTTTCCCAGTTCCTCCACGGATAAGAAGACCATCTCCCCCACCACAGCTCTCAAGAGCCGCTTCCACCTCCGGAGGAGGAATTCCACGAAGGGAAAACCCTCGGTGACGGCGAAGCGCTCCTCGCCCCGGGGCCTCGTGCAGATTTCCAAGCACCGCCTCTGCCGGATGCCGGCGACCAGGACACAGGCAGCCACCAAGGAAGGTAGGAGCAGGCATTCCAAGGGCTCACTGGACTCACTGGAGTGATTCCAAGGTGTTTGGATTTGGGGATGTGTTGCTGTGTCCTCCTGGAGGTGTTGTTGGTTGTGGAGCAAACACTGAGGAGAAGTTTCACTCCATATCTCTGTTGCCCTTTTGGTATTTTCACAAAAAATCTTGTTTCCTGCTTTTCCTGGGGTTTCCCTGGATTTTCAGAAAGGTTTTCCAAGATGGGAGAGGTTGGCAGAGGCAGGAATACACAAATCTCTCACCTGTATTCCAGTGTGGCGTCCAGTTTTGCATCTAATTTGCTTAAAACACCAGTAATTAGTGGAATAGTGAATCCATCACGTTTGGGAGCAGGGAATTTGCATCCATGTCCTGCTGCCTTGGAGCAGAACTCAGAGCTCAGAGCGGCACCACCACGTGTCTGGGATGTTGTTGGGCTGTTGGTGGCTCCAAGTCTGGTTCTTCTGTTCCCTAGGGATATTTTTGTGGATAAAAGGCTTCCCCCACCTGGGATTCAGTTGTTTCAGGTGAATATGAGGCACATTTTCCCTGTGGCCATGTGAAATTCCCCGTGGGAATTACTGGAGCTGGGAGAGGGGTTTGGATCAGATGTAGCTTGGATTTGTCTCCAGTTATATTTTGGGATTATTTGGTGTTCAAACAGCTCCATTGAGATGTTGAGTTTTCCTGCATGAGGGATTTTGGACAAGGGGCTGGAATGCTAGGACAAGTGGGAATATAGCTTCCCCCTGCAGAGTTAGATGGGAAATTGGAAAGGAATTCTTGGTAAGGCCCTGGAATGGAATTCCCAGAGAAGCTGTGGCTGTCCCTGGATCCCTGGAAGTGACCATGGCCAGCTGGGATGGGGCTTGGAGCAACCTGGGATAGTGGAAGGTGTTCCTGTTCATAGCAGGAGTGTGGAATTCCATGATCTTTTGAGTTCTTCCAACCCAAATCATTCCGTGATTCCATGAAAAGACCGAGACATGGAGCAGTTTGGGATTGCTACAGCATTTTAACCTCAGAGGGAGCTGAGGCAGTGATGATCCCAGGGATATCAGCTTGTTTGGAATCCCAGTTCCTTGATTGAAGGGAATGTTCCTGCACTGAAATCTTTATTTTAGCTGGATAGGAATGAGAAAATAAAGCAGGAATGTGGTTTTGCTCCAGGCTTTGGGAATTTGGCAAATAAAAAAGGTTGGAGTATGGAAGAAATAAAAAGGGAATAGGTCTGGAAGTGATCTTGGGAGAGCAGGGAGTTCATTTTCACCTCCAAAAGTGGATCCAGTTATCCAGCCTTTCCTGGCAGATGCTTCTCTGTGTGGCACCTTCTCCTTTGCAGAAAAATTCAGGAAGAGCCTGGATTTCCTTGAAATTCCCTCAGTGAATTCTGAATTTGCTCCCTTTGATTAAAATTGACGTTCTGGATTTGAATTCTTTTGTACTTCAAGATTTTTCTTGGAGAGCTTCAATCCCAGGCAGAGGATTTACAACTTCATGTGTTGGAATATTCTTAAACTCTGGGTTTGGAAAGCTGTGGAATTATTCCAGGGCTGTTCCTCTGTGTGCTCCAGGACTTCTGTGTTATTTTTTTCCCCCAAGTTTAGTAGATGAAGATTATTGGGTGGTGGATGGGGGAGGGATATTCCCAAGTTTGGAATGCTCACAGGGATTGGGACAACTCCCATGTTCCCTATAAATGTATAATTATGGATGTGGTGCCAGTGTTTTTGGTTCCACAGGAGCTGGGAATAAGTGAAGTTTTATGGATTCAATTCCTGGCTCCTAGGTTATAGAAGAGGTTTTGGGAAGGTTATTTTGGTTTCTTTTGGGGCAAAGTGTGGATATTAATCACCACAAAGGGGTGGATTTTCCAGTCTTCTCCATTTCTCCTTGGGCAGGTGTGAGGGAAGTAAATGGGGTTACTGGGATGCACTGGGAGCAGAGTGGGGTAGGAATGGAGCAGGGACATGGAGGGAAAGACAGAGGGGAGGAATGTTCCCAACTTCCTGCATGGCAGCGTGGCTGGAAAAGTTGGATCAGCCCCTTCCGTCCCCACGGATGTGGGGCCTGTGGTGACACAGCCTGGCTGGTTTCCTGTTTGTCCTGTTCCACAGGATTTGGGGATCTGTGGCACAGCTCTGTGGGTTGTACAAGGACATTGCTCCTGCTTTTCCCAAGTCCTGGTCTGTCTCCTGACTTTCCAGTTCCCTTCTTGGACCCCAATGGATCTGTTTGGTCTCATCAGTAGGGAAGCTGTTCCGGGTGTTGCTGAGTCTTAAAGTGGGATTAGTGTTTTCTAGTGCTCTGTCCCCTTCCCTCTGTTGGAATTGCTGTTATTTAGGGATCAGAGAGCCAGTGGGAAGTGGCAGATTGGTAGGAATTTTCTTGGGATTATTTGGGCTGTTCCTCAAGAGATCCACCTGCAGCTCTTATGGATTAATTCCAAAATAGTTGATTAAGTGGGATGTTTAATAACTGCTCAGATATTGGAGTGTGTCCCAAATGGAAGTTTTTCCAATGGGATGGTGGAGCAGGGAGAAAGTTCCAGGTCAGGCTGCCTCCCTCACTTCTGGGATCCTCAGGGATGTGATGGAAGAGGGATAAAAGGTGGTGATTGTTTCTCTCCTTATCCAGGAAAAAGCTGGAGGACCAACAAGGATCATCAAGGTCTCATGTGCCAGTGTTTTGGATAAAATCATGGAATGGTTTGGGTGGGAAGGGATATTGGAGATCATGGAATTCCAGTTCCCATCATGGGGCAGGGACACTTTTCACTATCCCAGGTTGTTCCAAGCTCCATCCAAGCTGGCCTTGGACACTTCCAGGGATGGGGCAGCTGCGGCTTCTCTGGGAATGTCATTCCAGCACCTTTGCAATTTCACAGGGAGAAATTCCTTCCCAAATCCCATCTATCCCTGCCCTCTGGCAGCAGGAAGCCATTCCCTCTGTCCTGGCACTTCAGGTCCTTATCCAAAGTTCCTCTCCAGCTCTCCTGGAGCCCCTTTAGGCACTGGAAGGGGCTCTGAGGTTTCCCTGGATCCTTCCCTGCTCCAGGCTGGACATTCCCAGCTCTCCCAGCCAGTCTAAATGCCAAAAGAGCTTTTTCTCCATGTCCTGTCCCATCACCTTGGGAATCCTTTATCCACTTTCTCCAGACTAAAGATGGGATATTCACAAAAGTTCAAGGATGGCATCTCTTTCTCACCAGTTTTGAGGGAAAACGCCAACTTTTAAGTGAGGTTTGACTGATCCAGGTGTGATGACAGCAGGATATTCCTGCTTTTCCCATCCTAAAAATCCCATGCCCAGGGATACAAGAATCCCACACTTTCCCAACAGCTTTTTCTTGTCTTTATCTGGGATTTCTTGCAGGATGAGGCCTATTCCCAACCTATTTTTGACGACAGACAAGTGAATCGTGGTAGTTGGGAACTTTTCCTCGACATTCCTTGGCTCATCCTGCTTGGGCTGTCATTTCTTATTCCCAGGATTTTTTCCTTGGTAAAAACTAGGAATAAGTGCTTCAAAGGAAGATTTCTTGATTTTTTTTCTAATTCATTTCAAGGTCAGACATGGGGCAAATATATGGACAAGGAGAATGGGAGTGACGACTGTGTGGTACCTGTGGGAAAATTTTGGATTTTTGCAGGAGAATCGGGGGCTTTTCCAGGAGAATTGGTGATTTTGGGAAGTGCACACAGCCCTGCAGAGGGCACTCGTGCCTCTCCCATCTCCTCAGTCCACCTTTTTCTGGTTATTGATGGCCTAATTTCGTCTTTATGTGAAAGAAAGCAGATCTGGAGTAATTTGCAGCAATAACCTGCTAATGCCGGGCCAGTATCAAAATTCCCATGTTCATTCCCGGTGGCAGATAAAACACTAATATATAATTATCCTTGCAAATTGGATTGTTTTAAATAACCAAAAGGCTACGGCCGGGGAGAAAACCATCCCATTTCCCTGGAGTTCCTATTGCGGGGTAATTGCTGCGTTCAATCAATTTCCTTGGCATTAGAAATTCCATCACAATCAACATTAAGCTTTATTCATTGTGATGGCAAAGAGCCGGATCATTTCTCCTCTTTTCCTTAACTGGCAAAATTAATCAGGGAAAAGATTTTAAACATTTACCCGTGCGAAAGAGGTCAGCTCTGCCACTATATTGCTCAGCAGATAAGGGGGCTAATAAAAAGAAAATTGAATTACTAATGATCGCCAGGAACAGAGTATATAAAACCTGGCAATCGCCCGGTGCAGGAAAAAAAGGGAATCAATTTTCTCCGGACAAGGTGCGCTCGTTTTTTATTTTGGCTCATATTATCAGCAATTTAATTGGAGAGAGCATAAACAGGAGGAAACAGTTAGGGAATAATGAGGCTGGAGGTGTAAAATCCTGCAGGATAGATGCTGGACACAATTTATTTGGCACAACAGATAATCACTTTAATTGAATCCAAAAGTGCAGCGTTCAGCAGCGCCGGCTCTGCGCCTCGCCCGGGGGGATCATGGAATATTACAAAGAGGCTCCTCCGTGTCTTTTCCACCTCTGTAATGTCCCCTTCCAGGCAGGACTGCTCCGGGATTGCTTCGGCACGGTCACAGCTGGCTGGAAGCAGGAGATGGAGAAAGCACGAGGGAGATTCTCCAGGGAATTTTCCTTATTTATGTTGTGTTTGTTCCTTAAATAATTCGGTGCTTGCCGGGTTGGGTGGCTCCGTGTGAGACCGGTCGTGTCCTGCTTGAGGTGAACTTGGAATGGTTTGGACTGGGAAGGATCTTAAAGATCAACTTATTTTGCTGTGTCCTGAGTTCAAAGCCTGGCTCCCTTTTCCTGCTGTGACTTCCAGGTCTGGCTATAAAAGGAACTTCTAAAGAGACTTTGGATTGTTTTCCTGGGAGAGGTGGGTGGTTCATTGTGGAATTTAGATCCCAAAACAATTTGGATTGGGAGGGACCTTGAAGATCATCCAATTCCACCCCCCTGCCATGGGC